GTTAAGAGTAACAAAATGTGTATGTATAGGCAACTTTAATATAAGGCACTATTAATTATGGGTATTATCTATGACACTTCTGCAAAACTGCTTGGTCAGGGATGAGAGGACACTCGCTGTACCATATGTTCAGACAGATACTGCAGCTACTTTATCAGCATACAAAATATCTGTAGCTCCTGCATGGAGCTCACTGATGTAATTTGATTTCTGAAATGCTGAGTGAGCACTCTCTGGTGTTACTACAGATTCAAGTGGGAATGTACCTTTCCTCTGCAGTGGCACAAAGGACTGTAACAGTCTATGGTATGTAACTGACCTTATCTTTCCATAAACACAACATACAGTCACGGATCACTGTACTGCTTACAAATAAAAGCATTAAACATTTTTGTTGATTAAATCACTGTTGATTTCACAAAGACACTGCAAACATCAAGTCACATAATCCTACTAGTGTCAAGTGTACAAAACATTGCGCCAGTACAGAAGTGAATTATAATGTTTGTAAAAGTCATTTGGTCTCCTTGATTCAAACCCTGCAGTTGCATGCGGGTAATAAAAAGCCTTTTTAAACCACAGTAACAAAGAATGAAAACACAAATTTGACAGCAAAGTAATAAAACAGGAAGGAAATATTAAATACTACGTAGAGGCAAGCATCATAAAAGGGACGTCAAAAACAAGAAAGGACATACACAAAAACAAGACCATAAAAAACAGTTTAAAGAAGTCATTTGAAAGTTAAAGCAAATAATTAGCCCTGATCTTCTTCAGCATGTAATTTCAAAATCTACAAGTACTAAAGCACAATCATCTTCACATCTGGTTTTTAATGTAAAAAACATGAAGAAAAAACATGTGGCTTTGTTGGATGTGGGATTGACCAAATATTTGATTGAAAGGCAGACTGTACTAGACCAGTATTTTACATTCTAAGTGTTATTGCAAATTCTGAAATTATCTTTCTGACCTTTCAACTAGACACAATTTTCTGTTCCCTTCCCAAACAATGCACTGTGCAGAAGTGTTAAATTGGTGGTTGAATGAATGCTCACACAGTGCTGTCATGCAGTGATTGCACCAACTTTAATAAGTGAATTATTGATGAGACATGTACTATGCAGATATGTAGTCTTCTGCACTGATGCATAGTCCATAACGACGACATTTGAAAGGTCAGTGGAAAACTTGTAAAAGTACAAACGATTAGTGGTAACTTTCTATACAGTTTATCCTGCATGGCAGCAAATGTTACCTTACTTCATTGTTCAGTGAAAGAACTGAAATAACAGAACTAAAATAACAGAAGTAGGTGAAGTGAAGTATTTGTTTTTTAATTTTTATTTTTTGTAGAGCTCTTACTTTATTGATGCTTGTAATGTTGTTCCATTATGGCATTTTATAGTAAAATTGTCATTATCAAAAGATGATGTTAAATAGAAGCTCATTATCGACATTATTGTCATTTCTTTATGATTATGCAAATAATATATGTGCTGAAATGATGAAGCGTAAGAATGACTTTTGACTCTGATTTATTAATTGAACATCACTAATCAGTGTAAATGAAGATAATGAAGTCTACAGTCAGATTTTACACTACAATCAATCCGACAATTGAACAATGACAGTGTTTCACTTTTATGTATCAGCCACAGACTTTTCATTCAAGACAGCAAACCTTAGATATTTACTTCAGATAGATATATCACTTATTTAATAATTTACTGTCAAATACAGTAAGCTACAGTAGTGATACTGTAATGTGGGAAAACATACAATTTACACTACTGTAACAGACATGTACTGACACATATGAAGCAACATTTTGACAGCAAAAAGCGGGGGTGTACCTTACATTGTAGGCATAGACTGTGATTGTAGGTAATTAGCAATCATGTGGCACTGCTGCCGTCCTGTGTAAAATTGTGACTGTAAAGTAAAGATAAAGATCGCAAAAACATGTTGATCAGCAATCTGCAGCCTACATGTACTGAAGTACTGATAACATATAAGGTGTCTGTATTCTGAAGACTGAACATGTGATTTGGTTTTTACACTTTGAATGTAAGCTAAGCATTTGTGTTTAAAGTTAAAAATGAGGACGTCCATTTAGCTCTTTGTAGGAGAAGGTTTGCATATTGAAAGTCTTTGGTGGAATTGCATACAACGCAATTGTAAAATGGGACATTCCCCTGTCCCTTCCTGTATTAAAAAACCCCAAAATATAGATATGATAGATTTAAACCCATGAGTTGTTAAAGTGTCTATTTGTGGTCACAATATGTTTCCTTTTTCTTGTTACACTAGCATTATGATGGCATGCAAAGATGCACAGCCATGGTCTGTATTCCTGCCTTTATTCTGTATAATCACAGTTTTACAGACTAAACCAGGCTTAATGTGCTTAATGCAAAACATATGAAGGACAATTGTGGATAAATACATCAAACATAATGGGGGCAAAAGCATTATTAGTTATTTTTATTTCTCTAATAATTTTAAGTGTAAAATGGTTTCCATTTTGCTCAGTTGATTAATCTGTCAAATTAAAATCCAAAACATATCATAATAAACATTAAAGACTAGAAATACTATATGTTTAATTACATGGGGGGAAATGATAATTGTTATTTGGAATATAAAACTATCAACCCATTAAAATAAAGCTTGTTTTGAATATAAACTGTTTGACTGCATTTAGAGTAAAAACAATATATAATAAAAAATCATTTCCACAGAGGTTACAGTGGGCAGCACACGACTCACCATATGTGTTAACAGGCAGACGATAAGGTCCTAGTTGATTCAGACGGATGATGTAGCTCATATCATGTTTATACTGCTGCTCTGGTTCCCTCCCTTTATTGTGCAAATCCTCACTGGTGGAAAGTAACTTTTCAAAAAGTACATTTACTCAAATTGTGCACTTTTGAGGTACTTGTACAAAGTATTTACATTCTACTCCACTACATTTCAGAGGCAAATATACATTTTACTCTGCTACATTTATTTGATAACTTTAGTAACTAGTTAATTTCCAGATTCATGTTAATGCTACAAAACATAATCAGGACTAAGACTTTTTTGATCCCCAGGAGGACATTCCCAAGCTCTAATCCAATATGATATACATTGTTTGAATCTTTTGTACTTTTATTTAAGTAAAAATGTGTGTTTTTACCTGTCACACAGTATTTCTACAATGGAATTGCTACTTTAAGTGAAAAATCTACATTTTCCCGCCGCTGCAAATCCTGTACTGTTTATGCTGCTGTGCACCCTCCAGTTCCTGCATTTCTCTTTGTAACCAGCAGAGGATGACAGCAGGCAGCCACAACAGCAGGACTTCACACAGGAGCAATATCAGAGGATCACACTGCTGTTAAACCGCATATTGAGCCTGCTGCCTGTAGCTGTGTCCAGCTTCTTGTTGCTACGGTAGCTGTGGTTTGTGCCAGGGTGAAAGAGGATCCGCTATTAGTCTTACTTTGATGCTGTAGGAACACAATTCACATTATTTTTACCATCAAAACCAAATGAAACTATATTTATGAGATACTGTGGTATCTGACCTTCCTTAAGGGATTATTCATCTCAGCAGTTCATTTCTACCCTTCAAAAATCTTTTGTGTGTCTAAAGAAAAACACAAGAGGCCGACAGAGAGAGGGATTCATTCCAGTGAAAGTGCTTTACAGAGGCTTAGACAGAAATGTCCATTCATTTAAAAATGATAGCCAAGAAGGGCCAAGGGCCAGTCACATTAATCGCTGAAGAAAACCTTTACAGGGACTGCTGAGATGGAACCACTTCATACATCCTAATACTGACAGAAGATAACCTTATATAATACAGTGTGTGCTCATTTGTGTTATTTCTTGCCATTTTCATTTACTGCATTTCAACCCTCTCTCTCTCTCTCTCTCTCTCTCCCCGGTGCATGTCTCTAAAGATAGAACAACTTTTATTTAAAGGGGAACTCTGCAGGTTTTACACATATACATACAATAACCCTAATGATGTCACAGTGATCACGGTTATATCGGCTTTGACTGTAGACTTAAAATGTCTGCATTATATACTGGAGGTGTGAGGTGTGAAAGAAGTAAGGCATTTAGGAAGCAGGCACTATCCAGGTGCATTATAGTAAATGCAGGATTCAGGTATTTTTTTTAGCTTGACCAATACTAATTTCTGTTTGACAGTATTAAAAATAAACCTTGTCTCCTGTGAGTCCCCAGACTTTATGAAATACTAAAGCAATGGAGTTCTCCTTTAAGTGTTAAATCTCTACTACTGGTTGTGCACACCACTTCTACTGTAGGTGCAGGACAGACAATATAAACACAGCATGACATGGGCCCTCAATTACAATTACTAATACTGGAGCAAAGGTGGCTTTATGCTGTGTTAGACTGCATGTCAATTAGTAAAATTTGGCAGCTATGGCAGGACTTTGATATGCAAGCTTTCAAATTAATATGTGGCAACCAACAAGAAAGATGTCCACACCATCCATGCTCAAACTGCAGGTGCATCACCTAAAAAGATTACTTAATTAATGAATTAATCAATGGAAAAATATAACAGTAGCATTTGAAAAACAAGACAAACAAGAAAAAAAGTTTATTTACTAACTTTTTTTTTTTTTAAAGAATTGCAAATACTGGTAACTGGGATGTAATTTATAAAAGACAGTTTTTCTTACTTTAAAGTTAAAATGTATACCTTGTCGAGCAGTATAATAGGCTTTATAATTCAATTATTTTCCCAAAGTATTCCAGTCCAGTTCAACCCAATCACAAAAGCAGGTTTTATTTTTATGTGGCATTTTATCCAAAATAATTAGGAAGGAAGAAACACTGGGGGGTCTCAGTTTTTTCAGCTCTTATGGGAAGTGCAAAGTACTTCCCAAGAAAGTGGAGTGACGCAGACTTACCCATGGAGGAGTATTTGGATGAATTCAGGGCTTTTTAGTGAGGATGCATTCAGAGTGTGCGCACCTGCGTAAGACAAGCAGTGTCCGCAATCTGCAACCTTACAAGTGGGAAGCTGCACCTTCGTCTGAAAGACGCCTGAGGGGAAGCATTTAAAACAAAAAACGCCTGGTTTTAACAATGAGTGAAATTTCTTTTGGATTACAAACTATGAGGAGGTTTTCCCTCGCTGTATCCTCTGAGCAGCTGTGACCACCGTGTCCAGACACCGACACGCGCCGTCCTCTGCCACATCTCCGGGCTACTTGTTGTCAACCTGCGAGAAACATGCCACCCAAATTATTGGCTTACGTCTCACTCCTGTCTGTCCTTCATACATGGTAAGTGGCGTACTTTTGTTTCAAACAGCTCTAAAAAGCTGGAGGGGAATGTGTATGTTCAGGGACGTTGGATAAGATAAACTTAAGCTCCCATAAGCTGTTTGTCACTTGTTTCGTGAAGAAAACTTCATGCTTAGCTCTAAGTTCATCTGAAGGACTCTCAATGACGCTGACATTGTGTTCATGCAGTCTGCAGAATACACTACATGGCTTCGCCTTCTTTCATGTCACCTTTACAGCTCTCTAACAATCGAGTACGAGGAGGACTACGAGGATGTCACTGTGAACCAAATGCTGGCTCCTAAATCACAGGAAACCGATGCCACGAATATCCTCAACAATTTACTGAAAGAATATGATAAGAAACTGCGACCGGACATCGGAGGTAATTGACTCTTTTGTTTCAGTCATTGTCATGTTTTGGCAACAGAGCAGAGATTTGTTGCACCTAACCAGGTGCAGACTATAAAACCGTGACATTCATAGATGTAAATCAGCTATGTAATTTAATTGGCACAGATAAATGCTGCCAGCGTTGAGCACAGCTAATCACACACCCCGAGGTGACCTGTGTAAACCTGCAGATTCAATTGGCATTATAATCTGCTAAATGAGCAGTGTCTGTCAGTTTTAAGAGTCGCTTGTAATTAAAGTAGAACAAATATGTCATTAACTAGATGGGCTAACACTTAATAAAAATATAAACACCATAAATCATTAATAACATCATGCAAAAATCATGCAGTGTAAGAGTGCATGCCTCCAGTCTTCTCCTCATTCTATGCTCCTCAGTGACATCCTCAAGGGTTTGCTGTCAAAAAACTGTGAACACTATGTCATCTACCACCTAGTAAACTATCATCCATTTATCAAGATGACCAATAGAGTCTGTCTCTCCAAAAAATTGTGCTACTTAGCTACTAAATTAAGCTACATAGCTACTATTTATTTTGTTAATTAATCCACAACTATAGTAATTCAAGCTAGCTAATTAAGTAGGCTTATTTAATTATAATTGCAAATACCCCTTCATATGTTTGTAAGTAAGTAATAAGTGTAAATGCAATGTAAAACAGCTGTTAATGTATTTGTCTTGCTGTGTAAAATGAGTGGCAATGCTAATAACCAGTTCTGTGCAGTCACAATAAATGTACTGTGTACAAGACTGAGATAAGGATGAATGATTGAGCACCATTCTTCCCCTATAAGGTCATTTTTGACCCACTTATAATTTGAGGTAATGATTCAAAAACGGAATTTTACAAGGTTAAAGAAAAAAATCAATAGGGAGATAGTATAGTATATATGTAATGCGACGTATGGAAATATTTTGTGTCAAAAAGATTTTAAAAGAAAGGTAAAATGTAGGTAAAAGAGTTTTACAAGGCTGCACGTCACTGGGACATTCAGTCCTTGGTTGTTGGTTTCAAGCAAGGCGAAAATCCCCCAGTTTTTCAGCTGTTTGCTACTTACTGACCTACAGCCACAAAGGGCAAGATGTAACTCATCAGCATATCCTCATGAATATAAATTACATTTGGAGGTTGAAACTTTGAGTGCAGGAGAGATATGTGAAGAGTTCTGCAATTCCCAGACTCTCGTGCATGTTGTATTTTCTCATGTCACATACAGTGTGAGAGGATCTGAGAATATGTGTGTTGGGTCATGTAGAGCCAATATTCACACTTGGTTCCTTTATCCAGGTTCTGCTTCTGTTTCCTAGAGGAAGAAATAGTATGACGGTCATAACCTACAAGATGAGTTATAATGGATGTGTAATAGAGACTTCATGTAAAATGTTTCCATGACTTGTTCCTTGAGAGATATTAGTTAAAAGCTATATGTAACTTATATTTTGGTTAAAACAAAAGAACTGATAAACCACAGTTCCCACAGCTCAGAGTGGACCTGGTTTCAACAACCTTGAGACTGGAATGCACTGCTTCACCTGTCTTTAGCACTAAAGGTTTCATCATGACTTGATGTATTTATAGAAATTCTGTAGTGTCTATCACTGATGAAGTGGTAGACCAGCTAGTATCTGAATCACTTCCTCTGTTAATTGTTTCATCAGTATTTAAAAACTCACCCCTTATTCTTATTTCTTTTGTGTGTGTGTTTTAGAGACAGGGAAAATACATTGGAACATGAAACAGATGTGTTGCATATAGTGTTCTAGCCCTGACTAATTTGCTACCCCTGTCCCTGGTTAGGCTCCTCTGCTTAAAAAAGATCACAACATATCACCATTACTAAACACCCCAGTCAAGAAAAAAAAGCACGTAAGAAATAGCAACATTTCTTACATAATTGCAACAGCCACATCACAGTCATTAACATGTGTTGCATATGTGTATGTGCTTATGATTATAAGCGTGTGTCCATGTGCATGCGTGCGCGTAGACTTTATAAATATGTACGTATGTTTTTCTAGATGTATCTATTCCCCTATCTATGTGTTCATTTGCAAGTGTGCATGCACAAGTGCATGATCAGTGATCAGTGATTAATCTGGCTGTTGCTGGTGTACTTGTTTTTTGTTAAGAGTTTAGTATACATAATGTAGCCTTACTCATTCATACTGATACACGAGACTGTATCTTTAAAGTTGTTATAATCACTATTTATTTCATAAAAATAGATCAAATGATCATGTGTAATGTGAAAGTGATCACTTGTAGTGACCCAGTTCTGCAGTTCCCCTCAGCTCTATGAAATCTTTTAACCGAAGGTTTTGTTATTTGGTTCACTCACCCCTCTCGTTTGGTCGTTTCCAGACACAGCAGGCGGCTGTTTAAAGCAAACAAAATCTCTGATAAACAAACTATACACTACCTGCTTAGCACCAACCTGACAGACACAATTAGCGACTACCTGGTGAACATAGTGCAGCACTTAGCTGCTACAGAGGCAGATATTTCCCTCAGGAGTCGGTGAAGACCAAAAACAGAGCTAAAAGGAGTGAACTCACATTCACTAGTAGGTATAAGGTTGTTTATTAGTTATTATACAGCACAAGGCTGCATAACAAAACAAAATTTGTACTTCCTTCATGCTACACACACAACATGTAATTAAGTCTAGGCCTATATCAAAATATGGTAACATAAAATAAAATTATACATACAGTTATTTATATATAAAAATACAGACACGTATACACCTTAAACATTCCACAGTGCATTTTTTGAATTTGATGATAATATGAAAGTTTCATCTTCGCAATAAACATTTTGACACTTGGGAAACAGAGTCCATCTTGAATGCGTTTGAGCACCAAGCATCATCGATGTAAAACACACAGTCCACCTCCTCTCATCTCGTCTTGTGCTGACAGCTCGGAACATGGACCACCTGCGTAGTGCTTGATCCGGGATGGCGCAGGTATGATGTTGGCACAGTCTCTGAATTCTGTTGTCTGGTCAATATGAGTCCCATTTTAGGAGCAGAATTAAGTCCAAACTGGGCCAGCATGGCTCCTCTCCTGGCTTTCCTCTCCTCTGAGCGATCACAACACCCGTCGTGGCGCCTGGTCCGGTCTGTTCTGCTGCTCTTGAATCCAAAAACCCCGTCTTTATCTTCCAATGACTATATTTATGTCAGAGATAACACATGTTTTGGCAATAAAGCCGGAGAAAAAACAGATAACAACAAAAGTGTAGCAGAGTTTGAAGGAACTACCAGCTGCTGCTTCTACAAGCGCTGCCGGTTGCCATGGAGTATATATTAGCTCATAGTGCTATTACAGTTGTGAAGGAAAGGTAAATATTTTCTGGTTTTCCCTCCTTCATGTTCTCTGGCTGCTCTGCCTCAACTCTGTGATTTATGATGTGATTTGCTAACTGCTAGCTGTTGCTAACAGTAGCTCCTGTTTTCAGCTGGCTCTGAACCAGCGGTCCAAATCTTCTGTACTAATGTTAGAGGTGTAAACACCAACACATCCCCAGAGCAGCAAGCTTCCATTCTGGGCAGAATCATCATAGTTTTCAGTCACGTGCGTGGGGACCTGGAGGGCAAAACAACAGACCAACATAGCGGCTCACACCGTGACTCCCCGTAGAGACGCTGCTAAAGCACTCAAATTTTGTTTGGATCACCTTTCAACTTAAGAAAAAGAAAGATATGAACATAAACTGCAAGTGTCGGGCATATCCGATCCATATAACGTTACAGCATCCGCTGCTGCATTTCTACCATTAAAAACCGCCAGGTCCATGCCGCTGCTCGACTGTGGTATGTTTATGTTTACCTAATGGGGAATCCCTCACCACAGCCCAGGCTTCTCTTCACCTCGATTAGTGCATCCGAAAGCACAACAACCATCTAGCATTTCCAGCAACTCAAAGTAACAGTGTATCACTTGCTTATTGGTTGGCAGGCATCGGAAAATAACGTCTTTCTAGCCCTCCATGTAAGCGTTTTCCTTGGAACGTGACGTCATGTGAAAACTATGAATAGGACGGCTAGCTGCACAGCTAACTGTGTAGCTAACTTAGCTAGTGTAGCTAGTACTCTGTAAATCGGTACATTTTGAGGCAGAGCAGCTGTATAATATATTTATGCATAAATAAGAATTATAATAAAATTATAAGAATTATATAAAATTAAAGCAATTTCAAAAAAAAAAAGCAAGCACTGTAACCAAAATGTTGGTCAGTTTCTTGTCAATATATTTGCTACACAAACAGTCTGCCTCAAAGTAGCGAGAGAATAACATGACAATTGGTACTGTGCGGGACTCCCGTTAGGAAGGTTGTAAGGTTGATTCCAAATAACTGCAGATATTTTTTCTCTCCCTTGTTTAACAAATTAATTATAAGGACACTTTTGCACATGCTCACAATAAAGCACGTGCTGCATTATTGTTGGCGGGCCAGTTCTGGCCCGGGGGCCGCCTATTGCCGACAACTGGCCTACTGCATTATATTAAACTATATTTTTATATTTTGAATTGTCACATGTGACCTGAATGTTGTGTTTTGTGTTTAGTGTTAATTATTATCAGTAGTAATTATAATAATCATAATAAATGTATTTATATGACCTATGATATTTAATAATTAAAATGTAGAAGACAAGGTTCAGTTTGCAGGTAGCAACAGAAAATGAGACAGTTGAAGTTACTGTGCGTTTTTGGTTTTTTTTGTAGATGGTACAAGTAGAGGTCATTTACTGTTGCTTTATAGACTTAGGCCTACTTTTGGTAGGCTGGGGAGGGTGAAAACAGGTGAAAACATGAAAAATTTCTGGGCTGGGCTAAGACTCCAATGTTTTAAGAGCTTGGAAATGCCCCTGATGGTGGCTGTTGAGGATGAGAAGTGTCCAGCGTTCCACGCTCAACTTTACGGAAGGGCGTGAAATGAGACACACCTCTAGTCTCTCATA